CCCCCCAAGTTAAGTAATTACTGTAACGATTATTTATCTAATTTATAGAATTAATCTCCATTATTTTAGGTTTCCATGTGAGCCGTTGGATAACCTCTCATGGTTTAGCTTTGAACTGTAATGTTGATCTTGGTTGGTTTGACCATATTGTGCCATGTGGTTTAGTTGGGAAAGGTGCAACATCACTCTCAGTAGAAACCTGGAAGAACATCAATGTTGAAAAGACGACAGCTCCTTTCATTGAATCATTTCAGGAAGTGTTTAATTGTGAACTAACACAAGTTGATTCAAATAGTGAAACGGGAATGAAAAATAGTAACTAATTTGTAAAAGATATGGTCAATCAACTGAATCAAGATATGGAAACTTGGCTAAAGTTTTTGTTCTATCTGTCTGTTCATGTCATACAAACTTGTACATGATATAGACAATATATTTTTGGCACAAATTATGAAGCAATCATCCAATGGCATCATCCCATTGGATCACTCAACTGTACTGTTGAATTATTATTAACACAATTTGAAAAGAGTTGTGCATGATGAAGCCGGTGGTGGACACTTTGTGAAATTGGGGGGGAGGGGGGGATGAACACATTTGGTTACTGTTACTGGTTCCCAATGAACACATATCACCACATTTTGTTTCTGGAAATCTTGGTTTGGAAAACTTTTGTGCCTTAAATTTTCTATCGTTCACAGGCTTTCAGAAATTATTGAGGGGAGGGGGGTTCCACCTAGTGTCCACCAATGGTGAAGTCAACTCAACATAAAACCTTAGCTCATTATAGATCCTTTGAAGTAGAAAGTTCTTTCGCTGGATCAAAATATTTTCTAGGGAGATGCGTAAATTGTAAACGTTGCTCATATCTGGCGATCCAGGTATAGTTGGCTGTTACGTTCGACTCCAAGCACCAAGACTGTTCAACTAAGCAGTCCATTTCAAGCATCTAATAAAAAGAAATCACAAGGGGGTGAATGTATTATAATACCATACTTTCCTGCTCATTCTACATAATACTATATGAAAGCTCATTGATGCTCAGTAGGCTACAAATTCAACTGCTTTAAATACGCACGACGATGAATGAAGCAAGGAAAAAGATGCAAGCGAACGACTTCTTTCTCTCTTGGAGAAAGCAGAGAAAGGAAATAATTTTGTTCACAAATGACATAATTATGTTCTTAACTTCTTTACATTTTAAGGCTCTATGCTGTAGGTTTGGGAGCGAGATAGTTCTTTCTGGTCTCTAGTACGAAACTCTTGTTCTGCTATAGGATCGTGACTAAAACACCACACGAGTACATACGAGTAACATACAAGTAACACACAAGTACATACGAGTACATACGAGTAACACACGAGTACATACGAGTGACATACGAGTAAAACACAAGTACATACGAGTACATACGAGTAAAATACGACTAGTAAACTTGTTTTTAGTGTTTGTAGATTGAATACAGGCAAAAAGATCGTCTTTTCTGTCGAAAAACGTGGAATGGGGGAACGGGAAATGGAGGAACAGGGAACGGAGAATGGAGGAACGAGTAACGGGGGGGGAGGGTGGGGGGTGGGGGTGAATCGAGCAATTATGAATTATTATTAATAGGCAAATTACGTAATATTAATCATATGTACGGGGGGAAAAGAACAGAAAAAACCCCCAGAAATTCGACAGGATAAACGGGAATCGGGGAATTACGAAACTATAAAACGGACTCTGGTGTCTTGGGAATTAGAAAACCGCTCAATGAATTAAAACTAGTAAAGAAATTTAGCGAAGCTTTCCTTTATTAGTACAGCGTATCATAAAAAAGTCAATCCACATTGCTTATGTCCGATCATTAAGTAATATTAATAATAATAACATTGCTTATGTCATTACTAATATACTTGCTATATAATAAAACAAACTTAAGGACTAGATGCAAGCCCAAGGCGGTCTTTATGCTCCATATGATATCTTAAAGTGATTATCCTATTTTAAATATCTTACAAAGCAAAACTAACAAAACACAAAATACTTCAAAATACGCAGATTTTAAGTTAGCAATTTAAGTTGGCAAGTACGTTTCTAAAGGACCCAGCCGAACTCTCCTGCAAGCCTTTGGACGTGCTCCACCTTGAGAAGGGGAGGAAAGTCTGGAGGAACGAGAACGTCGCCAACTGGAAAGCTTGGATACTTTGCTCTGATGCAGGCTGATCGGAAATGAAAATGCACGTTCTGAGGCTCACTTGAAAACTGGATTTGTCCTGCAGGGCCTTTTTTAACATATAAGCTGGGGGGGTGGGGGCATTTGACCCCCCCAGTCCCTCCTTGTGCCCCCCCCCCACGAAATCACATTTTGCCCCCCCCAGAAAAAGTCCCTTTTTCCTAAATTTATACAAACAAACCAGCGAAGAATAACAAATTGATAAACGGAACGTAAGTTTTAGGCTTTATCCTTTGTCTTTGTTTATTAACAAAATCGATTTAAAGGACTGTGTCACCGCGTGCGCATCCTACGTGTTTCTAACACTAAGTTTATGATAAATTATTGTTAATATTTTTAAAATTTTTTGTGCGTTTTTTCCTTCTTTTATTTCAAATAGAAGTATAGTTAGGATAAATTCTAGAAAATTTAGATGCTCAGACGGCAGGAAATGGCATTTTTGGGCTTGAAATTTCAAAAATTTTCTGGGGAGTTAATGCCTCCAGACCCCCCTATTCATTCGCGGTATGTCGGCCACACACGTGACCCACGGCCATTGCTATCCCCTTTAATAATAAGTAATGGATAAATTATTGTTAAAGGTGATCTACAGTCCGTATGTAAACAAAGTCTTTGTTTACATTTTTGTGTCCAAAATATTGAGCTTTATTCGACAACTATTTATATTTTCAAGCTTCTAGAGTATAATAAATGATCAAGAAACAACAATCAGGCTTTTCAGGAACTCAAAACATAGTTAAACTGTTTGTATCATAAAAAGTGGGCTCATTTGTGCACATGCGCAGATCGGACTGTAGATCACCTTTAATATTTCTTTTATTTTTTCTGCATTTTTTCCTTCTTTTATTTCAAATACAAGTATAATTAGCATAAATTTTAGAGCAAATTTAGACGCTCATAAAGCAGGAAATGGTATTTGAAAGGTTCAAATTTAAAACATTTTCTGGGGGAGTATGTCGGCCACACACCGTGGCCGTCGGCCATTGCTATCCCCCTCTAATATATTATCTAAGATTCCTTTTCAAAAAATACCCCCCCCCGGAAAAATCCTTTAAAAAGGCCCTGTTGTCCTGTATTTCGGTCTCGGAAC